CGCACGCTTCCCTTGGTCGGAACAGGGCCCCTCGCGAGCACAGGACCCTCTGTTAAGCGCTATGGACCGCTGATAGGTACAGAGGCTCCGACCAGTGTAAATCCCTGGCCCCGGTTTTATAGCTGATTGGGAGGACATTCACGCCCATACCGACGCCGAGCCGACTTTGCGGCACTGGTGGTGTCTGACCGACATATTGGCCCATATCGATTCAAGAGGTCCCTAATCAACACAACGGGCCTTCTGACTGCTATTTAGGAGCCATCCCCATTTGGTCGGGGCTCCCGAATTCCACCCCGACCAGCCCTTCATGCCCTTAGACCCTCCGACGGAGCCCCTGGTCGTCGAACTACGTGCACCCTCTAGGCTCTCCGGGAATCCTCAAACACAGCCTCTTGCCGACGCCAACATAGGGGGGCTGTGAGGCGCTAACAGAGGCTGCGGCCCCAACCCATGTGAATCGCCTTCAGACACTTGCCGCCACGGAGCCGACTGTGCGTTACTGCTGGCACTAACCAACATATGGACACTTATCGGCTCAGGGGGGCCCTAATCAGCGCGCAGGGCCCTCTGGCCGGCATCAGAGTACCCAGCCCTGCAAGCTGGGTCCCTGAACGCGACCTCCGGGCAGCCTTTCGGGCCCCTAATCGTAGGTTCCGATGGTCTTCGATTCTTACGATTCTACGAACACTATAAGGTGTTTTCATGTTATCACGTTCCATTTTTTCCATTTCACATTCCGCTTCAACGGTGTGTGTTTCTCCCCTGGGCACCAATGAATGTCGAATTATTTTATCCAAATCAGCACTCCTGACATGCTCTTGGGTGGAGAAGGCCACAGTGGTTTCCGCGTTCAGATTGTGTGAGCCTGCCGACTAACCAAGCTCACCACTCAACCCAACAGGCCACCAGAAACGATGAATACCGCCCTTGAACTTAACCAGCAACCGTCACCGGGAGGGATGCGGCGGACCAGGAGATACCACCGGGAGGGGTATGGTGGACCAGGAGACACACCGGGAGGGATGCGGCGGACCAGGAGACACCACCGGGAGGGGTATGGCGGACCAGGAGACACCACCGGGAGGGGTATGGCGGACCAGGAGACACACCGGGAGGGGTATGGCGAACCAGGAGACACCACCGGGAGGGGTATGGCGGACCAGGAGACACCACCGGGAGGGGTATGGTGGACCAGGAGACACCACCGGGAGGGGTATGGCTGACCAGGAGACACACCGGGAGGGGTATGGCGAACCAGGAGACACACCGGGAGGGGTATGGCGGACCAGGAGACACACCGGGAGGGGTATGGCGGACCAGGAGACACACCGGGAGGGAAATGGCGGACCAGGAGACACACCGGGAGGGGTATGGCGGACCAGGAGACACCACCGGGAGGGGTATGGTGGACCAGGAGACACCACCGGGAGGGGTATGGCGGACCAGGAGACACACCGGGAGGGGTATGGCGGACCAGGAGACACACCGGGAGGGATATGGCGGACCAGGAGACACACCGGGAGGGAAATGGCGGACCAGGAGACACACCGGGAGGGATGCGGCGGACCAGGAGACACACCGGGAGGGAAATGGCGGGCCAGGAGACACCACCGGGAGGGAAATGGCGGACCAGGAGACACCACCGGGAGGGATATGGCGAACCAGGAGACACACCGGGAGGGGTATGGCGGACCAGGAGACACACCGGGAGTGGTATGGCGGACCAGGAGACACCACCGGGAGGGGTATGGTGGACCAGGAGACACCACCGGGAGGGATATGGCGGACCAGGAGACACCACCGGGAGGGATATGGCGGACCAGGAGACACCACCGGGAGGGATATGGCGGACCAGGAGACACCACCGGGAGGGGTATGGTGGACCAGGATACACCACCGGGAGGGATATGGCGGACCAGGAGACACCACCGGGAGGGGTATGGCGGACCAGGAGACACCACCGGGAGGGATATGGCGGACCAGGAGACACCACCGGGAGGGATATGGCGGACCAGGAGACACACCGGGAGGGGTATGGCGGACCAGGAGACACACCGGGAGGGGTATGGCGAACCAGGAGACACACCGGGAGGGGTATGGCGGACCAGGAGACACACCGGGAGGGGTATGGCGAACCAGGAGACACACCGGGAGGGGTATGGCGGACCAGGAGACACACCGGGAGGGAAATGGCGGACCAGGAGACACACCGGGAGGGATATGGCGAACCAGGAGACACACCGGGAGGGAAATGGCGGACCAGGAGACACACCGGGAGGGATATGGCGAACCAGGAGACACACCGGGAGGGGTATGGCGGACCAGGAGACACACCGAGAGGGGTATGGCGGACCAGGAGACACACCGGGAGGGAAATGGCGGACCAGGAGACACACCGAGAGGGGTATGGCGGACCAGGAGACACACCGGGAGGGAAATGGCGGACCAGGAGACACACCGGGAGGGGTATGGCGGACCAGGAGACACACCGGGAGGGGTATGGCGGACCAGGAGACACCACCGGGAGGGGTATGGCGGACCAGGAGACACACCGGGAGGGGTATGGCGAACCAGGAGACACCACCAGGAGGGGTATGGCGAACCAGGGAATGCCACAGGACGGAGATGTCGGTTGCAAGTACGGGAGCCGTGAGAGATCAGAACGTGCCGGCTGACGCGTCATTAGCGTGAGCGCAGTTGGCTGATGCGTCATCAGTGTGAACACTGTCGGCCGACGCGTCATCAGTGTGAACGCAACGGACTGACGCGTCATCAGTGTGAGCGCAGCTGGCTGATGCGTCATCAGCGCGGAGGCCGTCCGCGTGCCACACCACCCGGGAGGACAGCTACCCCCCCCCCCCCGCCCCCCCTCCCGCCCCTCCCCAACAGTGACGGGACAGCGGGCCGCGGTGTGCGGCCGCCGGCCGTCGACCGCGCCCGGTCGGCATCGCACTATGCGGCATGCCGTCCGCCGCAGGCAGCGGGCAGCGCTGGCAAGCGCTTGTCATCGCTGAAATAGTGGCGAGCCAGGAATCCGAGGCATGCCGGATGAGCAGCCAAAACGAGCAGAGCTGATATTACTGGAGTCGACACGGCGCCAAAATAGCACGAGCGGAAACGGGTGCCGAGCACATCAGCTGTGCAGCGCATGGGCAGCGCTCCGTCCAGTGGCATTCAGATCTCAGCCCCAGACCTGATCAGACCAGCCACGGCATGACAGATGCTTTCCTCAACACTCGAAGACCTACAAATCAACAAGGCATGGGAGGGGTTCTGCCGGAGGACAAATGATTATTCATCCACCTAACTGCTTTCTATACCGCTCTTTATTTCCGTCAGTCAGTTCGGGGTTTCTCGGCGAATGACGTATCATCAATTTTGCTATCACTGAAATAATACTGTTTGGGAACTTGTGACCAAACTGAGAAAACTGACACTGCAGGCATAGCTAATATCGGTGAGTAGCAAGAAGTTGGCACCTGTTGGAGGAAGATTTTTTGAAGGCCATTCGTCACATACCTAAGATGTATGGCTGCGTTTTATGTTTTTCGTTATCCTGAAGACGATGCAAGTCTTCATTTGCTTCGCTTGAGTCATATCGACACGTGACTTCGCAGAGAACATGCCAATTTTCCGGGAATGTGACTGCCGTATGAGAGTATTCGGAAGCTGGAAAACTCCGGTGAAAGGAATGAACGCTCCAACCGAAACCAAATCTAAAAGCATTTATACGAACCAAGAAAACGAATGGAAGGCAATAAAACGAAGGCGACAAAACTTCGATGCGACGATATTACAACGAAAACAAAAGAATGTTACGCAATCAATCATATGCATCGTTTTTGTAGGAGTAACGCTATTCTAACTCTGCAACCGGTCTCCATGTGAATCCTATCAATCAGTCAAGCTTAGCGCCTGAGACCGGCAAGCTTCTGGTCGTATGTTCGTATCATTACCTCTACTTTACCCAGTCCTGATTCTTAATTTTCTTTCCCTAACCCTCCCCTTATCACATTCTTTATCTTCCTACACATCCATCTCATCGCCACAGGCGCATTAATAGCCACCAAAATGTATGAACTCACTGGTTTGACAATACAATGCAATACACGAAAATGGAATGCTGTTATTGCACCTTTTTGTCCGACTTTGCACCTGTTCTTCCATCCCAGACAGCCAAGCTTACTTGAGACGCTAAGAATTCGTTCAAAGCAGCGCTGGTCGTGCTGGGATAACATGCCGCGATCCGGCAAAAAAATGAATCGTGCTTGCACCATGCACTTGACTTTATGTTGGTCCTCTCGTGCACACCCTGGGAATTTGGTCTGGTTACAAGCCCGCAATACAAAATTGTTCCAATTACTCCGCACACCAATTGTGTCGTTACGGCTCTTCGGACCACGCTGTTTCCAGCATTTCAAGTCATTCTGGATGGCGGCGTCACTTTTATGCCGGAAAATGTTACGACACGGATGTGCCATGTCATGTTAATTTAATTTGGTTGGGTGCAATCGGATGTTTTCATGTCGATCGCGTTAATCAATGCAGCAGTTATAAGACTGGCACTCAGCTCTGTTGGGCTACGTGAGTTCAGCAGTCTCACCCCACATGATGCAGTCGGAGTGTGTCATTCTTCTAATGATTTGAAGAGTCAGGACGCGTTAATAACAAATGGTGATGCAGTGGTGATTGCTGTTTTTCTGATAGCAGCCTCAACGTGTGATTTCTAAGCGGATTCTTTTGCTGTGGCCTCTAGCAAGCGGACTCCAGGTAGTCACTTTAAGGTAGTTAAGCTCCGCGATTTTTAACGTGGCGCACTATCCATTCAGCTTTTACTCTGGATGTCGGGTAATGCATCTTGGTCTCCCAGCTTGGTCAATGCGGAGCTCTGTAGCGCTCAGGATTGATGATGGTGGTTGTTACCGCAAAGCGTCAAAGTAAACCCTCCTCTCCCAGCCGAGCGCCCGGCACGGGTGGGGTCTGAACGCGCTACTCACGTAAATCTGGTCGTGTTTGTATCTCTGGTGGAGGTTGGCGATGAAGGCCTGCTCGGTGAGTGGCTCAAGCAGCACGGTGTCCCAAACACCAACCTGGCGCTCCAGGGCCAGGGGGCGGCCGGCGCCGAGCGCGCGGCCCTCGCCGCCCGGCGGGCCCGGACCGCCGCTCGCCATCACCGGCGACACCCGCTCTGAAACACAGCCGCACACGTACCGTCACCACCGGCTGACACTCTGAAACATGACCGCACACGCACCGTCACCATCGGCTGACGCTCTGGAACGCAGCCGCACACGGGCTGTCACTATCACATGACGCTCTGTAACACAGCCGCACATCGTGTGTCATCATCGGCTGATACGATGTAACACAGCCGTTCACGCACCGTCACATCACCAGCGACACCCGCTCTGTAGCACAGTCGCACACGCACCGTCACCACCACACGATGCGCTGTAACACAGCCGCACATACACCATCTCCATCGCCTGACGCTCTGCAACGCAGCCGTACACGCACCGCTTCCATCACCTGACACGCTGTAACGCAGCCGCACGCGCACCGTCACCATTAATTGACACGCTGTACACAGCCACACACGCTCCATCACATTGTCGTGAGGGCTCTGAAACACACACCGTCACCATCGCCTGACACTGTAACACAGCCGCACACGCACCATCACATCGTCATGAGGGCTCTGAAACACACACCGTCACCATCAGCTGACATTTTGAAGCATGAACAGACACGGTTTGCTGCCAGTCCGTGATTCTCACTATCCTTTTCATCCATTGCATTGCTGTGCAACATTTTTGTGCTGGACACTCTACCACGAACGTCACAATACCTGTATTAAATCAGATCTGTGACTGCTTACTAAGGGCCACGGTGTTGTTTGTTGTCGTTTTTATTGCAATAGTAAGTCCTGAAGGATCGCTGGGTTTGGTTGAGATAAATCTGAACAAGTTTGCAACGTGTTACATTTTAAATGTTCTTTTGTAGTGCAGGATTGCAGCGTTTTGCTAAATAAAGGATTACTGGTGGGAGGAACGGGTGCGTGCCCCACCGACTTCGGAACTGAACCCGGTCCCGTGACTTCGGAACTGAGCCCGGTCCCGTGGCTTCGAAGCTGAGCCCAGCCCCGTGACTTCGGAGCTGAGCCCAGTCCCGTGGCTTCGGAGCTGAGCCCAGTCCCGTGGCTTCGGAGCTGAGCCCGGCCCCGTGACTTCGGAACTGAGCCCGGTCCCGTGACTTCGGAGCTGAGCCCAGCCCCGTGACTTCGGAGCTGAGCCCGGCCCCGTGACTTCGGAACTGAGCCCAGTCCCGTGACTTCGGAGCTGAGCCCAGCCCCGTGACTTCGGAGCTGAGCCCAGCCCCGTGACTTCGGAGCTGAGCCCAGCCCCGTGACTTCGGAGCTGAGCCCAGCCCCGTGACTTCGGAGCTGAGCCCAGTCCCGTGACTTCGGAACTGAGCCCGGTCCCGTGACTTCGGAACTGAGCCCGGTCCCGTGACTTCGGAACTGAGCCCGGTCCTGCGACTTCGGAACTGAGCCCGGCGCCGTGACTTCGGAACTGAGCCCGGTTCCGCGACCGCACTCAAACAATACAGCTTACTTTGCCTACAAATCAGAAACGAACTTAAACATCTGAGATGAGCCGATGTGGTGTGATGCCCGCCCAGATGTGAGGAAACTCAAAGAAAGCGCTACATGAGCGTGGTTAAATGCTATTACAAGCACATCTCCCGCTGCTGAGCGCATGCCTCACATGATTGTTTTTAATTATCTTTTAAACAGCATCGTTTGCTCTCCATAACTTTTCTGCTCCGATATGCCGTTTCTGCTCCGATGTGCTATTCGCCGTTATGCGCGGAGATAAGCGTATCGTGCTGGCGCCACTGTCTTATTTGTGGTGCCTGGCATTGTCTACAACTGAGATGCATTCAGCTGTTAAGTAAATTGTACTTCTGAGCCATGAAACGCTTTAGTGCTATGGATGTTTTGTTCCGGTCGGCAGGCAGGCTGGACGTTACGGTCCCTTTTATGGAAGGCATTGTTTTTTCCATTTTTGGCTCAGACCGTGAATAACATTACTCATTCGGCGTAAATAGCTAACGAATGGGATCTGCATGCTTCGCTGGATACCGATTGGGATAATGTGCTTCGCTAGTATTTTGGCAGTGCATGTGAACACAATTCGTCATGTCTGTTTTTTCGTCAACAGCTATGACGAAGATGCCCGAAGATGTAACACCCCTGGGAAGCTGGCATTGCGCGAAGCGTCGCAGTCCGGGTACTCTACGAGGACGGGTGGCCACGAATCTGTAAACTATTAATTCGTTGATTAACTGGTGTTTTTTAACGAAGTAGTGCTTTCGTTAACGTAGAAAGATTTAGCGGAATTATTAACTGCCGTTAATCTCTCACCAACTAACTTTGAAGTCATTACATCGTCTGGCAAGTCTTTAATTGAGCTTGGAGCGTGAAATACTGCACGAGTGGTGAGTGGGGCTTCTTAGCGTACAGGGATTTGAAGGTTTTGACCTTGGGGATATAAATTTTGGGAAAACGCTTGTGGGCGTCCACAAATTTCACGTTAACAGTACGGGGGTGGAACTGGAGCTGCCTTCTGGCACTTCCTGGGCAAAATCCTGGGTGCGACACCCTTAAGTCATTTGATGTCAAATGCAGCATTTCATCATAACTGATGCACTGCAAATTTGAAACCTTAAAGTCTACTTTATTTTCTGAGCATAAAAGTTATACTCGACTGCAAGTACAGTCATCAAAGTTGCAGCACGTAACCTATTCCCATTCCGGGTTGTGTCATAAGGAACCAATCATTTTTTATAATCACAAACATTCATAATTGCATCGTCATTTCCAAACTGATGACTTATGAACTTTAATAACGATGTCATGACATGTGCCCACCAGCAATATTCTGTTATTTTAATGTAGTGATATTAAACGCAAAAAAACAAATTTTCGAATACGCGTTTCTTGAAGACGCAGCGGAGCGCACAGCCCGAGGGACACGAGCGCGAGAGCGGTATGGACCAACTGCACATAAGCTCTCACGACGCTCAGGATGTCATGCTGGGCACGGAACTGACACGGTCGGATGTCTTTTACCTGCGGTATATATCCGAGGTTGAATATCCATGTTTGTGCTGCAACAAGATTCGTTTTTACCAATTGAGCTAAATCTGTGAGGCTGGTCGTAAATCGACTCTGAATTTCGCACACCACTGGCGGTGTGAGAGCTGCAGATGGCATGCAGGCGTCGTCCGGAGTATCCACAGGTATTCAGTAAAGGCCAGAGAGTGCTGGAGTCGCCACGATAAAGAACCTTTCCTGGAAGTGATGGAATAAGTGTGTGTCAGATAGAGCGAAGGGCTCAAATGTGCAGAATTCGAATGAATTAAAACAGATTCTCATCTTGCGAGTTCTCAAATCCTGAAAAGACGACTCGAACCATGAAATTAAAATTCCAGTCCAATGGAGCGCTGTCGAATACCGATAACAGTTATTTGAAGATGCAAATAAATGCATTAAAATAAGCTCAAGACTTCAATTTTTCAAATTGACTTGATTTGCACGTAATGTTCGTGTAAGCTTTGCATCTCAGATTCATGCCCTGCAAGCTCCGTGCAACTGGTCCTGGCAGTTTCTGAGGTTGAGGAGAAGAGGAATTTGACGCTTCTATACTCACTCCAACGCGTGTTTTGTACAGAGTCCCGCGAATACAGACATGTTACAGCCAAGCCCCGGGGAGTGTAAGACGGCCATTTGGCCAGCCATTGCCGGGTTAAACCTTTGCCCTGCGCATCGCAGATTCGCTCAGCATGGATGTCATGCCCGCCGCGGTTATAAGCTTGATATTAGGTCAGATATCTACGATGCGTACAAACTAATATTTGGGCGAAAGGTTTTGGCACCATGCCTTCCCTGTCACACACTTCGTCACATACGTTTCTACAACGTACGTTGTGGAGAACGTTTCCACAACGTACGTTGTGGAGAAGTCAATGACTTTGCTAATGCCTCATGAATAACCAAAACTTGACACATGCGCGGCCTCGTGCCGATCTCTCTCTCTCTCTCCCCCCCCCCCCCTCTCTTTCTATTGTTTTGGTTGGGTAGGAAATGCCCCATTGTTAGAATTGTTTGAAATCCACCCAACATACGATTCGACTTGCAGCGAAACCTCAGCTCCAGTTTACCTGAAACTGATCCGACCTGAAAGCGCTGTGTTATGAACATGTTGGTTCACTGAGATATGAATGCGTTTTCAAATGATTGACAACACATGACCGTTTCGTCTGCTACCTGATGTTTCTCAAGGTGGGAACTGTCTACAGAGTGACCGACATCGGTGTCTGTTTATCAAGGTGTTCACAACAGTAATTCAAGGAAACAGATACGTTAGCTTACATCCTGGTGTGTGGTCGATGGCCTAAAAAGACATACAGACACAAAACACAAAGGCATATACATAAGTCTAAGAACGGGCCACGAATCCCTTTGGGTTGTACCATTGCCAGTCAGCTGCACAATTATAATGAATCAAGTAGTCACCTTCAGATGATCAGATTTCAAACCACTTCCTATTCAGATTATATACCCAGAATGCTTAAAAAGGACGCTGCTTTCAAGGAAGCGCTTGCCAATGCAATTTCTACCTCCAGTTAAATTATAAGACACTAAGTAAGATAAGACAGGGTGATCAACACAAAAAACAAAAAAATAACGGATCCACGCACACTTTTGTGATATTCCCTTCACTCGTTCACTATCCACCTTTCATTGTATGACATGACAGGAGTATGATCTGTGAACACAACTATACCCCACTGGGCGCTCCAGCAAAGAATATACTGCATCAAACATTACTACAAGACAGGCTCATTCGAGAAAATCCATGACACTTTCATGCATCAGTTTTAATGAGAGAAGGCCCCTCCACGAGCAGCAAGTCCCTCATTGCGCCCCAAGATGCCTATAACCGAGCTGGTCGAGAGCGTGAGAGAGTCAGTTCAGCGGAGTCCAAGACGCTCTGTGTGCAGGCGAAGTCCTTCCGTCGGCGTATCCCGTGAGACTTGCAGGAGAGTGCTAGCAAACAATACAAGGTCTTAGCCATACAGAAAACAGACGAAGCGAACCCTTAAAGCCTCAGACAAGGAGAA